TGTGAAACATTAGCATAACACAGTAGCATAAACTAGGAAGAAACTCCTTCCAATATAAGTTTTTGTTGTTGTTCATTCAGTCAGTTGTGTTTGACTCTTTGTGACCACATAGACCATAGCACACCAGGCCCTCCTGTTGTCTACCATCTCCTGAAGTCTGTCCAAGCTCATGTTCATTGTTTCCATGATTCTTTCTTTTTTTTTCTTTTTTAATAATATTTAATTTTCCCCCAATTACATGTGAAAACAACTTTTAGCATTTGTGGTTTTATTTTTAAGTTTTGAGTTTTAAATCCTATCCATCCCTCCCTGTCCTCCCCCCTCTGAGATAATAAGCAATCTGATATCAGTTATACATGTGCAACTCCATTACACTTTCTATCTGTCTCATCTTCTGCTGTCCCCTTTTCCTTTTGACTTTAATCTTTCCCAACATCAGGGTCTTTCCAATGAGTCTTGTCTTCTCATTATGTGGCCAAAGTATTTAGGCTTCGGTATTTGACCTTCCAGTGAATAGTCTGAATTAATTTCCTTAAGTATTGACTGACTTCATCTCCTTCCTTTCAAAGGTCTTCTCTGCACAATTCAAAAGCATGAATTCTACAGTGTTAGGCTTTTCGTATTGTCCAACTCTCACAGCCAAACATTACTACTGGAAAAACCATAACTTTGATTACATGGACCTTTGTCAGAAAGGTGAAGCCTTTGCTCTTTAATATGCTATCCAGATTTGTAATAGCCTTCCTTACAAGGAGTAAGCATCTTTTAATTTCATATCTACAGTCATTGTCTGCCGTGATCTTTGAATCCAAGAACATAAACGCTGACATTGCTTCCATTTCTTCTCCCTCTACTTGCCAGGAATAGATGGAACCAGTTGTCATGATCTTAGGTTTTTTTGTTTTTGTTTTTGGTTTTGGTTTTAGTTTTTTGATGAAAGCAATTGGGGTTAAGTGACTTGCCCAGAGTCACACAGCTAATGAGTGTTACATGAATTTGAACTCAGGTCCTTCTGACTCCAGGGCCAGTGCTCTATCCACTGCGCCACTTAGCTTCCCTTTAGTTTCTTTTTTTTTAATGTTAAGCTTCAAGCTAGCTTTTACATTCTCCTCTTTCCTCCTTATCAAGAGGCTTCTTAATTCTTCTGCATATCTGAGGTTGTTGATATTTCTCCTGGCAACCTTAATTCCAGCTTTTGATGCATCCAGCTTGGCATTTCACATGATGTACTTTGCATATAAGTTAAATATATAAGGTGACAATATACAGCTTTGTCGTAATCCTTTCCCAATCTTAAACCAATCAGCTGTTCCATGTTCAGTTTTAACTATTGCTTCTTGACCCACATACTTGTTCCTCAGGAGACAAGTAAGGTGATCTGGTACTCCCACCTCTTTGAAGACTTGCCACATTTTGTTGTGATCCACACAGTTCAAGGTTTTAGGGCAGTCAATGAAGCAGTAAACGATTTTCTGTAGCTCCCTTTCTTTCTCCACAATCCAGCAAATGTTGGCAATTTGGTCTCTAGTTGTTTACTGTTGCCCGCAAACAGATTGTACACCAAACGGAGAGGCGTGAAATAACTTGTGACATGGGCCAGGTGGAGCAGCGTTACTGACTCAGTTTATTCATCTGAGGGTACAGGATATGTAGAGAAAATATAGTCTAACTTCAAAAGTCCTCCCCGTGAGATACTCCCCAGAACATCTGCTGAGGATGTGACAACCTGAATTTCCTCACTATCAGGGTTCCTAGATTGGGTTGTATTTTCCAAGGTTTTCCCAGGCGCCTTGGCACCACCTGCATAGAGGAGTGAATGTGTAAATCTAAGGTTCAAAGAGTGAGAAGGAATGTCTCAGGGACCTCCTAATCAGGAAGGGATTGGAGAGCCGTACCACTTAATCATTGAGCCCTTTCGGGTAAAAGCCTGGGCAGAAGTCAAACTCTGCCTTGGATCTTAAACCCTTATCAGACTCTTAAGATCGGCCCTCAACACTTTACCTCTTCAAAAACCAACCTGCACTTCTAATAATTCCTGGTTCATAGATTGCTGAAGACTAGCTTGCAGAATCTTAAAGAAAACCTTGCTGATGTGAAGTGAATGCAACTGTTCAGTAATTTCAACATTCCTTGGCATTGTCCTTCTTTAGAATTGGGACATAAATTGATCTTTTCCAATCCAGTGGTCACTGTTGTGTTCTCCAAATGTGCTGGCAGAGTGAGTGCAGCATTTTAACAGCATCATCTTTTAGGGTTTTAAATAGCTTAGCTAAAATTCCACTACCTCCACTGGCCTTCTTGTTAGCAATGCTTCCCGAGGCCCACTTGACCTCATTCTCCAGGATGTCTGGCTCTAGATCAATAAACACACCTCTTCTTAATCTCTTCTATTTCTATTAGGTCTCCACCATTTTTGTCTTTCATCATGCCAATTTTTGCATGAAACATTCCCTTCAAGCCTCTAATTTTCTTGAAGAGCTCTCTTGTCTTTCCCATTCTATTGTTTTCCTCTATTCTTTACATTGCTTAAGAAAACCTTCTCATCTCTCCTTGCTAGTCTCTAGAATTCTGCACTCAGATGGATACATCTTTCCCTTTTGTTTTCCTTTCCTCGTCTATTTATAAACCATATCAGACAGCCATTTTACTTTTTTGCTCTTCTTTTTCTTTGGAATGTTTTTTTGTTGCTGCCTCCTGCACAATATTGCAGACCTGTGTTCATAGTTCTTCATGCACTCTATCTACCAAACCTAATCCCTTAGATCTATTCATCACTTCCACTTCATGTTCATAAGGATGTTATTTAGATCATACCTATACAGTCTAATGGTTTTTTGTACTCTCTTCAATTTAAGTCAGAATTTTGCAATGTAAGAAGCTCATGATCTAAGCCACAGTCAGCTCCAGGTCTTGTTTTTAACTCTCTGTATAGAGCATCTCCACCTTTGGCTGCAAAAATATAATCAATATGATTTTGATGTTGACCATCTGGTAATGTCCATATGCAGAGTCACCTTTTGAGTTGCTGAAAATGAATGTTTGCTATTACCAGCAAGTTATCTTGACAAAACTCTATTAGTCTCTGCCCTGCATCATTTTGTACTCCAAGGAAAAACTCACCTGTTATTCTTTTGATTTCCTATTCTAGCATTCCAATCACCTATGATTGATGGCATTTTTAATGTTATCTCTAGATGTTGTAAATCTTCACAGAACTGAGCAACTTTGGCTTCTTTGGCATTAGTGATCTGAGCAAAGACGTGTATTGTTTTGATGCTGATAAGTTTGCCTTGGATTTCAACAGATATCATTCTGTCATTTTTTAGGTTATATCCCAGTAGTGCTTTTTTCACCCTTTTATTGACTATGAGAACTATCCTGTTTTTATGTAGTTGCTTACAGTACTATACGTAATGATCACCTGAATTACAGTCACCTATTCCCTTCCATTTAAGTTCACTGACACTCAAGATATTGATGTTTAATCATTCCATCTCCTGTCTGATCACATCCAGCTTACATTGGTTCATAGATCTTACATTCCAAGTTCTTATGCAACATCAATCTTTACAGCATCAGACTTTCCTTTAGTCTCCAGACACATCAACAGCAAAACTTCCTTTTGAATGTGGCCCAGCTGCTTCGTTCTTTCTGGAGCTGCTTGTCATTACCTTCTATTCTTCCCTGGTAACCTGTTGGACACCTTAAGACCTGAGGTGCTCATCTTCCGATGTCATATCTTTTGTCATGTTAATAACGGGTTTTCTTTGCAAAGATACTAGAGTTGCTTGCCATTTCCTTCACTAGTTGATCACCTTTTGTCAGAACTTTCCACTTTGACCTATCCAGCTTGGCTAAGACTACATGGCATAGCTCTTAGTTTCATTGAGCTACGCAAACCCCTCTAGCACAAGACAATGATACAAGAAGGGTCAAAATAAATATAAAGGCCACTATTTATTTGAGGGTGTATCTACCAAGATTCACCTAGGAACTATATGAATTCAAGTATAAAACATGCTTTACAGAAATAAAGACAGTCCTAATTAATTGGAAAACCTTAATTTACCATGGGCAGATTGAGTCAAAATAATAAAATTGTAATACTACCTTGAGAGGACATATGGAAATGATTGATACTTTCTTGTATGCCAATAAAATGTGAGACAGTTTGCTCATAATGTTGACAAGTGTCCTCTGGAAGGTTTCAATGTTATCTGTTACTCCAAGGAAGAGTAGGAGATTTTGCACACTTGTGAATAAATTAACTTGTCTTGTATTACTTAATTCATTTTTAAATTTACATTTATTTTCTGTCAACTAAATGTTTTACTAATTTACTGGTGATATGCATAGTCCATAAATAGAGTTTTGAACTTCAAAGGGCCATGGTTCACAAATTTTATTAAGCAAAACAGTACACTTTGAACATAGGAAAAATAGCAAGGGCTCCCAGACATCCTGTGTTACATATAAAATATTGTCTCTTCATCTCTGCTATATAAATTTTAAACTGACTGATAAATCATTGTTAATAAGAACTAAACTCTGTTTCTTCTATATTTTGCTGAGTTTTTCCCCCAGGGATAGTTTTTACAATAAATGAAAAGGAAAAAAGGGGGGGAAGGTAGAGAAAAAGAAAATTGAAGGTGGGCCAAATTGAAATAAACAAAATAGGGAGTGCTTCTGTAATTGAACCTTTCTTGATCAAATGAAACATTTCCTAAAATGTTACAAACAATCAAGAATCATAAATACGATACTTCTCATATTCCATATGTATAGAATAGATCATAAAAACACAATACTATTTAAAGGGTCATCACATTTAAGACCTGTGCATTTGTATCCTTATTTTTGAACTTACCTTTCTTTGAATGACAGAACTGTTTAATTGTCTGAATCTAGAACTTCTTAAGCAAGCCAAATTTCCACTGTGTGTATATTACAAGAAAATATAGTCAAGTGTATTGGGCCATGAAGCAAAATAATAAAAACATACCAATGCTGTTTGCCCTCATGGATTCTTTGATTCGTACTTCAATGGATCTGGGATACAATAGAATAAATTAGAACTATTCATCCATACTTTCCCATTTTTATGAAATTCTCATCCACATCCTATAATCATTTTTTCTACGAGAATCCATCTGATGTGCTAGAGGCCTTGTGCTAAATCTTTTGATGATTTTTGAATATCAATGGAACATTCCTTCTTGGAGGAGGTAGGCTATCACTCTTCCTCTATCACTGGGACATTTTTCCATCCCACTGCCAAACATGTAACATTGCCACCACCACCCTTCTCACTTTTCACTTTTTTCTCTGAGCATTGTCATCAAATCAATACTACAATAGCCTTTGGAGAGGGCATATCAATTAAACCTATTATTCCACTCATCACCCATATGACTTGTCAATTCATAACTTCTTTCACTAATTTGCCACCACTCACCTACGTGTGTTGTCTCTCCTAGAAGAATTTAAGGTCTCTGAGAACAGGGGCTGTCTCACTTTTACATTTCTATATTTAGAACTTAACATAGGTTTTGCACATAACAAGTACTTTTCATTCAATCACGTAAGCCATCCCCTGTTATCTCTTGTGATCATTACATAATCAGCTTTATCCTTTATGAGAATTATCTTGCAGAATTCTTTGCAATATATTGTAGCCTATTCACACTCATGATGTACCACTCTGTTGCCTTTTGGATGACATAAACTTTAAATTTTTTAATACTATAGTATTTCATGATTCATAGCTATATAGCAGTGGTTCCCCATTTTTTTGTTCTGAAAAAATATTCAACAACAACAAAAAAGTGTTGGGAAACCCAGGGTAATTTAATTGTGCTAATCATAATATTAGATTCATTCATTAAGTACTTATAAGTACAATGATAACTTCTGCCCGCAAGAGTTCTAAATTAAATTTTAGATTATATAATCATAATTATAAAATGTAAGATTTTAACTCATATTTTGAAAAATATAAGTATAAAATTATAATTGTGAATATTTATGTTGGATATTCTATAGGAATTAAAAGTAATACAGCAAGACTGCAAATGCTTAGTATTTTTTGCAAAACTCCATATTAAATTTATTTTATAAATTTTGTTGAATAGTAATAGCATTTAATGAAATAATTTACAACTTAGAAGATGTTTAACATAATAAAATAATCATATATAAATTTAATTTCAGGGTTAAACTTTTTTCTGTTTGAACAGGGAACTCAAATGAATGTATGCATGGATGTCTGACTATCCTTGCAAATCAATGTGTGCTTGAATGTCAATTTGAACAAAGGTTTGCAACATTTGGCTCAACACCAAACAAATAGTCTTAAATCTGGGCTCACATTGAGTTTATTTCTGTATTTGGCTTTACAAAAAGTGAAAATGTCCATTTGTACAAATGTGGTGAGAAGTGGTAGGAGACTTTAACAAGGTCTCTTGCTGAGATATGGATTTTTTTTTCAGCTACCTAACCAATCAATGAAAATGAATAACTAGTTTCTACTGGCTGTATTAAATGATGGATATACTTAAAGTTCAATTGCATATATTCATTTTAACAATGTTTATATATAAACTAACCTTTGTAAGGAAAGCATCTCTTCAGACATGACTTTCTTCTTTTCTACCATTGGAACACCAGCTAATAATCTCACAGAAGTTCCACTGAATGATTGACCAGTGTTGCTAACCAGTCCATTTGAAAATCCGCCAGATAGAATAGTAACATAAGTGGAAGATAAATTTAATTTGGAAAACAGCCTTAATGCTGCAATAACAGGAAATATAAGATACATTTCTGTAGAATATTTGTGATGGTCCATGATGATTTTAAGATGACTTGTAATGTTCAAGGCCAGTGATCATGGTTTTCAAACCGGTTGATATTTGTGCTGTAATAAAACAAACATTTGTAACATCTTGATAACATGATTACACAGCTGATGGGGTACAATTACAAGGTAACTGATGAGAATAAGGGAGCAACTCTGGTACAGTATACAGAACACAAATGAGGATATGCATAATGTCTGACTATCTGTGGGAATCAGTTTGTGCTTGAATGTCAAACCCTTGTGTTGGTTTGGAACAATTAGATGACAGATTGAGAAACTACAAGAACATGCTGCACTTAGAAGCAGTCAGCATTTGTAATCACTGAACACACACAAAAACTGTGCACGTGATCATGATGATTTCAAATTGCTGCAGGAATGAACCTAAAATCCCACATATATGCGTATTCTTGTCATACAAGGGAAATAGATTTGTAATATAATTGAACAATTATTTACTACTTAAAGTGACATTTAAGCACAAACTCTTTGGACCTTCATTGTGAACCCCCAAAGAGTTTGCAAACCAGTAAATAGGCACCACTGCCTCACAGTATCATCAGATGAATTTTGGGGGGAAGAGAGTAAGTGGGTATAGACCTGTGGTTTCATCAGTGTAGGGTGTTTCCCAGTGAGAAAACTCAATCTACAAAAGCAGGTTAGCCATTTTTCTACAATTTATAAATGTAAAGAATTGCCTAGGATACTGAGAGCTTAAGTAACTTGCCCAAAATCCCATACTTACATGAGATTTAATTTTAAATCAATTCTTCCTGATTCCAAGGTCAACTGTCAATATACTACACCATTCTGCCTCTCTCGCCAGAACAATATTAATGTTACAAAGAAGGGCCTTTATTTCTGAGAAAAGCCTGGGATCATGAATAATACTTCACAGTTTTCCAAATGCAATTTAACCTATCTCCATTACTTCAATTTAGTATTCTTTTGATTTTAAGATTATGGTATCTATAATGCTGATCCTTATGAATCAAGAATTGTTAATAATTGTAAAGACAATGGGTATGTTTCTGAGTAAGAGGTAAGTCTCAAATATTATCTGATGTTATGTCATGCACACTAAATTTCTGATTCATCACAGTACCTTTTTATCTTACCCGCCAGAAAATTTTGCTTTCTCTATCTTGTTTCTCTCTCTTGCATTCAAGATACTTGGATCACTTAAGGATATACACCTTTAATTTCTATAAATCTTTCCTTCACTGCTGTTCTGGACAGTGTCTATGCAGGATAATTTCCTGGTAGTTTATGTTCAATATTAGAACAAAATCAGATACTTATAGGTCATTCAACAGTTAACAAAAGGAAATTTACTTAAGCGTAGGAAGGAGCAACCTTCTATACAAGGAGATGCAGTAAAGATACCTCAAACTAATTCAGCTGACTGAAGAATTGCCCTTTCTGGTTTGCTAAGCATTAAAGGGTATGTATGATGCTCTTCATGAACATTTTGTACAGAAATTATTAGGAAGTAACGTCAATGGCATCTTTAGTATTCTTAGGCAAACAACTCTCCAGGAATGTATCAATACTTTCAAGGAAAGACTAGTTTAAATTGCAAGGGGGCAAAGGTTAAGATATTGCCCCTATCAGTCTCTACCTCTTGGTGGTAAGGTATTCTAAAGGACCTTCCACCACTTAAATCGCTTTACAGCTATTACTAGCATACCATTAACTTTAGCATTCAATAAGCCACTTTGTTGCTTTGTTGTTTCTGTGTATCCAACTGTGACACCATTTAAGGTTTTCTTGGCAAGGAGTGGTTTGCCATTTCTTTCTCCAGCTCATTTTATAGATGAAGAACTGAGGCAAACAGGTTAAGTGACTTGCCCAGGGTCACACAGCCAGTAAGTGTTTGAGGTTGTACTTAAACTCAGGAAAATGGGTTTTCCTTACTTCAGGCCTGGTTCTCTATCTACTGGCCACTCAGCTGTCCCAAGCCACTTTTGGCACCATTAAAGGAGGAAAAGAAAAAGTAAAATAGAAACACAGCAAAACCAAAACAAAACAAATAATTTTGTAGCTCCCAAAAGAAGTGATTGAATATGGAAAATAAAGATGAGAAATGTCAGGTTTTGTTTGCCACCCCCAGCCCCACCCTGAAGGTTTACTATGTCACTGTCAATGCCACATTTGAAGTCAACAACGTATTTCTCAACATAAATAGGTGACCATAAGCAGGTACAATACCAGGAACATTAGATGAACAAAAAAGATGAATCTTTCTGTATGATTACCAATTCTCATTCTGAGTTGGAAAGAATTTCCCTGTACCTCTATCTCCTTAGTGTTCTCCCAAGGAGGGAGGGGGAAGAAGGGAATAAGAAATTTTTGACCAAGGAGAGGCCTCTGGAAAGGATCAACCTTTTCTTCTGGGAAGACCAGGTAGGCACTTTTACCTTTCCCTTGTTGCTAGAAAGCAAGCTTGCTCCCAGCAATAGAAGGTCCTCTACACCCTTCCTGAGGTGATGTACAATGATCTCTGGGTATTGTACTAGAATGAATGTGGAAAGGCTAATCATAGAAATAAGCACTAGTGGGCCTGCCTTTTGCCGATAGGAGCTGTTCCTGTTCCACTGTCCACTGGGTCAAGAGCCTCTTCACACAAAATTCCAGAGAGAAAGAAGAGAGACAGAGAGAGCCATAGTTCACAATTCAGTGGTGAGAGTGGAAATTTTTAAATGCTGCTGTTCTCAACAAATTAACTGGAAATCAATCGGAACATTTGTCCATATCCTCAATTTCTGAAAAGTCATTAACATCAATTGCACTCTGAGTTTAATTGTCCTAAGGACAATTAAGTGCTGTCCTTTCAAGTGCCTCCCATAATGGTTCATACAAAAAAAAAAGCCCAAAACACAACAAAGTCCATGCCATAAAATTATAATTGCCCTTTTAAATTTGAAATTAAAAAACCAAACAAAACTCAAAGAGGGCTTTAACACAGTAGTTATGTAATCCTAAAATTTCAGAGACCTGCCTTGGTTTGCATGTTTTTATTGTTGGTATCCTCACCCCTCAACTGGCTGTCTATGTCCATATACAGGACTGAGGGCTACTTGTTCAACCACATCGTCATTTCAGAAAAGCCATTCAAAACCACACATTTCTTTTCCCATTCAGCCATACATATAAATCTCTTAAAATTTTAAGAGGCCTTCTTTTAGTAGGCCTCACTAAGGCAAATGAGTAATGATGACCATCGAGAACGCAAAGGCAACCAGGCTTGGCTAGGGCAGAACGCAACTCACTCTTCTGAATTTGTTCTTTTCTAATACAGAACAAAAGCAGTTTTAGTCCCTCCAAATTTAATCCTTCCCAAAAGATAAATTGAGTTCAGAAGAGGTCTCCCAGTAGCATTTGGAAGAGGCTGAAATTTGGAAGAGGCTGGAAGGTCTAGGGACAATACAACTGGTTGTCCTAAAAGATTGTTTACTAAAACTCTCTTCAAGGAAAAGTTCTTTAAAAATAGAAAGCATGTGGGGCAGCTAGGTGGTGCAGTGGATAGAGCACAGGCCCTGGAGTCAGGAGGACCTGAGTTCAAATCCCACCTCAGACACTTGACACTTACTAGTTGTGTGACCCTGGGCAAGTCACTTAACCCCAATTGCCTCACCAAAAAGCAAAAAAAAAAAAAAAAGAATAGAAAGCATGTGTGTCCTTAATCATCAGTCTTCCCTTGCTGAAAGACTACAAGCAATTTACTTTCTGATCTCCCAGTGTTCAAGGGCACCTCACGATAAGTAACTACAATCTTGAGACATCATCAAAAGGACTGCCAGAATCATGAAAGCCAATCAATCTGAGCTTTCCTTCTTATCCACTACTTGTCTATCACATCAAAAATACTACAGTTATCCCTTCCACATCACGACTATCCCCATCATAGTTTCAATATATCACCAGTCAGCATAATAAATTAAATGGGAATATTTGGGGAGTTTTGCAGAAGCCGCAGACAACACTGGAAGGCCAGCAGACAATACAGAGCCTATGACCAAATACTTAACCCAAATTTTACAATAAGGTACTATAAACACCCTGTAAAAGAAAAAGAAAAAAAATCAGACCTTCTCTGGTATGAAGAGAGGGCCAAAAAATTTTACATGGATTTTCCAGATTGAAGGGGCTAGGAAGGGATAATTGTATTCTGTTCCAATCCTGAATGATTTGCACTTGTTCAGATCTGGGCCTGATTCACGACAGTCTCCTGAAAGTTTAATTTTCATATTAGCACAAAAGGAGACATTCAAAGGTCATTCAATAGTAAATAAAGTGAAATGTTTATTAAGTCATAGCTGGAGAAGGCTATTCAACAAGGATATAGATGGAAGACACCTAGATTTTATTTTGGAAGACTAGCTTTGGGCAGCTAGGTGGTACAGTGGATAGAGCTCTGGGCCTGGAGTCAGGAAGATTCATCTTCCTGAGTTCAAATCTGGTCTCAGACACTTAATAGCTGTGTGACCCTGGGTAAGTCACTTTATCCTATTTGCCTCAGTTTCTCATCTACAAAGTGAGCTGGAGAAGGAAATGGCAAACCACTCCAGTATCTTTGCCAAGAAAACCTCAAATGGAGTCACAAAGAGTCAGACATGACTGAAAAAAATGACTAAAAAAGAAATTAATCACATGTCAGATTTTTTTTAAAAAAATGAAAAACAAAAAAGGAAAACTAGCTTTCTTGCCTAAATTCCCCATCTTAGTCCACCAAACATTTGATAGCACAATTACAGCTCCTTGGGCTATTTTTTATTTTGTACTCAAGACAACAGGAAGTGATATCATCAGATTGAGTTTTTAATTCCCTTGCCCAACTCTAATCTTAGCAGTTTTCCTATATGCATTGTTGGATCTTTGCAGATAGTGCTTCCTTCTTTCGATTTTGCATTAATTCACAGTCTTCCTATTGCATTCACATACCACAAGTTTTTAAACTAGTCCCCAAATCAATGGGCATATTTGTAACTGGCTACTTAACTGAAGCATTAACTTAGTGCTTATTTCATGACAGCTACTTGTCTAAGCAATGTGGA